GGTGCATCCTCCATGTCCACAATCCGTTATGTAACTGAATTTTGAATGCGCTTTTCATTTTGTCATCCCTGGTGGTGCGTTATTGTGCAAAGTCAGTGGTTCTTTCTGTAGGTGATTCTGAATTGACACCAGGATAGAACCATTCTCGCTCAAGTCCAGTGAGGCTGGAGACCCATCTCTATGTTGTTTCAAAGTCAATGTCTAGTAGGTTCTGGAAGTTTCTGTTGGTTTATGTTTTTCTCCCTTTAAATGGGCTGTGCTTTCGTGTTGGTCAATATTAGTTTTTAATCACCATGAGTAGCACTTCCCGCAGTTACCTTGAGGATTGCTTAACGTTTTCCAGTTTCTATTTCTTCAAGTGTCTGAGAGGAATTGTGACATTTTATGAACTTGCCAAACATCTGTCAGGAACTGTCTGTGCAAACCTTGATTTCTTTCATACTGTTTCCGCTGAGAAATAGGATTTCTCTTCAAATCCAGGTTCTTTGCCTGATCAGTAGCTTGTGTTGGAAATGACAGGGGCTGGTTTCTAGGTCAGTCTTACTCTCTTTTGGAACACTCAGGTTTGGGATCCAGGCACCACGTCAGGAGGTAACGCAAGGGGCCAGCGGAGAGACCCACATGAAAGAAAACCAACGCCACTGTCAGTGGACAGCCAGCACCAACTTAGTTGCCATGTGCGTGAGATGCTTTATCGGTCTTAGTCAAGCTACCCCTGCTGATGCCACATGAAACAGAGATAAATATTTATAATATCCATTACCTTTATATTAAATTAATTTAAAATTGCTTCAAAGTTATCCTTTAGGATAGAACTAAGGAAATACAACATGAACCACACGTATAATTTTACGTAGCTACATTACAAAAAAAGAGAAACCAGATAAAATTAATTTTAGAGATTTGCTTTGTCCCAATGCATGCCCACTACCATCATTTCAAAATACAATAAAAGTACAAAATTACTATGAGTTCTTTGACTTTAAGTGTGATCACACTTCTCATTACTTAACATGTTTAGAGTAGCCATATTTGAAATACTCCATAGTCACATCTGGTTTATGACTACTGAGTGAGGGGATCAGAAGGCAAATGGCCCAGATGTGTTTGACAGACAGAAGAAGGAGGTCCAGGGGCTGGAAGTGACTTACCCAGGGCCATGTAATGTTGTAGTTTGAATGGAGGTGCCCCCTCCCCAAAGATACATGTGTTTTGTAAATCCTGGAGCCTAAGATTATCACCCCATTTGAAAAAGAGAGTCTGCACAGATACAATTAAGCTAGGGATCTTGAGGGGCAGGGACCACTCACACTGACCTGAGTGATCCCTAAACACAGCGATAGGGTCTTTATGAGTGATGCAGAGGGAAGCTTCAATAGACAGAAGAGGAGGTGGGATACTGGAATGCAGGAATGCCACAATCTTTTGTACCAACATGAACTTACATTTTGGCTCCTTTTCTTTAAACTTGAAGCCCCTTCCTCCATGGAGGAGAAGCCAGCAGAAGACAGCAGAAGATGGGAGAGATGTGGCCACAAGCCAAGGAAGCTAGGAAAGCTGACAGTGACCACCCCGCCTTCCCCCAAAGCCAGAAGAGGCAAGGCGAGAGGCTCCAGGGGGAACAGGGCTCTGCGGCTGCCTCGATTTAGGTTTTCTGGCTTCCACAAATAGGAGAGAATACGTTTGTTATTTTTAGTCACCTCGGCTTGCGATAACTTTTTATGGCAGCCACAGGAAATGAATATATACAGACAGCAAGCATACAGTCCTGGACGGAGGAGACCTTGGCCTCTACTCCCATACAGAGCCACCTGATTCCTCAGGGCCTTGAGATCTCCCAAACATGTCCAGCCTCTGTCCTCCCATGGTCACATTGGAGCAGTTAGAGGATGGGTGACCTGAAGGAACCATCCCCCATCAGCTAGGAATCCTGACCATATCCTTCTGTCTTATTCTCCTGCCTTACCGACTCACGCATGATCTTGTCATTGCTCTCTCTGCTTCTACCTCTACTGTCCATTTCCCATGTGGCAACCAGGGTCATAATTTCCTTCAAAATAGTAAGTCCCAGCAGGCCATTCTTTTGCTTCCAGCTCTTTCATGGCTTACATGCAACCAAATCCAAACTCCATCTTATAGGGACAAGACCCTGCACGTGCCCGGCTACTTCCTAGACTTCATCTCCTAACCGCTGTCTCGTCTCTGTCCACTCCAGCCCTGGCTGGCAATCGCCAGGCTCTGTCTCCTATGTGCTTGGCCCATTTTCTCCCCTCTGGCTTTAGCCATTATGCTGTGTTCCCTGTCTGGAACATACTCCCCGCAAGGTCCCATGGCTCATCCCTTCACTTTATTCAGACCTTGGCTCTTGTTTCCCACCTATCTGTCATCAAGCCTCTTACTGGCCATGGTCCCTCTTTGTTCATTTGCATGTTTCCTTTTGCCTTGTATTTTTTTTGTTTTTCCTTTCCAGCATGGACTCCACAGCACCTTGCTGTTAGTTGGTTAGGTTATTGCCCCCCTTCTCCACCCTGCATTAGATGATCAGCTCTGTGAAGGTGGGGACTTGTGACTGGTTTATGCAAACAGTGCCTGGACCAGTACCTGGTAGTTGCTCAGGAAACATCTGTGGACTGAATGAACAAAAGAATGAATGTACTTGGGAGTGTGGGCTCTTTAGTCACATCTTTTTTCCTAAAGAAGTCAGAATCTGGATAATGAAGTGACACTCACATACCAAAGGAAAAAAGAAATCAGAGCTGGTTATAAAAAGGCATCCAAAGGCCATCAGTTGGAGATCTCTGACCAGCAGGGATCTGGGTCCAGTGGGAGCTGCACGGCTCATCCTCAGATGTTGCTGCCCTTCTGGGAACCAACTGGTTCTTTGAGATCCACCAGCTCTCGCATGCCCAGGCCCAGGAGCCACGAGGTGCTGTTTGTTGTTATAGAGCAAAGTCATGCAGGGCACTTGGTTCAAAAGGCAGGATGTGAGCTGTGAGCTTCCAGCTCATCGGTTCAAAGGAAGTCTACTGGAGCAGCAGGCCTCTTGGGATGTGTCCCCAAGCCTCCCTGGGAGGTGGTGGGGCCTCTTCAAGAACTAATAATAGGCAGGCACATCCAGTTTCCCAAACATGTCAACCTTAGAAGTAAATGCTATTTTTTCTCCATTACCTTTGAAGGACTACATAGGGGAGGGACATTCTATTATTGCTTTCCACACGCAACCTCGTCATGACTTGTTGGGCTAGACTGTCATAGCGGGACCCCCACTCATTCAGCTCATTCTGCCCTCCTTCATCCATCACTCCCCAGGCTCGGGGAGTGGGCCACCCAACACCACTCAATAGGATTGAATATGGGGATTGAATATGTGTATCTTCACCTTGCTGAATTTTGTTGTCCTTCTCTTTCACTGCTATGGAAGTCACTGGCTCCCTACAGGACTGTTGGGGCTGGGAGGGGAGCCAGCCGCTGGTCTGGCAGGTGATGCTAACTATGGTTGAGCACCTGTTGAGTGGGGATAAGAGGGTGTTCTCTCTCTTTTGTTTTTAGAGATTTACTGTATTTGAAAGTCAGAATTACACACACAGAGAGAGAGAGAGAGAGAGAGAGAGAGAGAGAGAGAGAGAAACAGAGAAAGATCTTCCTTCTGCGGGTGTGCTCTACAAATGGCCACAACACCAGAGCTGGGGAGGTCCCAAGATGGGTGGTAGACGCTTCTTTTGGGTCTCCCACGTGCATGCAAGGTCCCATGACCTTGGCCTATCCTCTATTGCTTTCCCAGGCCATTAGCAGAGAACAAGATAGGAAGCAAAGCAGCAGCTGGGACTCTAACCCATGCCAGTGGGATGCCAGTGCCATGGGTGGAGGATTAGCCCGTGTCAGCCCCTCTCTCATCCCTTCAACCAATAATTGGACCCCAAGGAGGTGTCAGGTCCTCAGCGGGGGCAGGGTATGGGGCATTGGGATTTGATAATAAGTCACCCCTGTCCTTCCCCGACCTCTCCAAGGGCCAGAGGAGGGTAGGAGTTCATGGTCAAATATATAGCTGAGCCCAGGGTGTGGGGCATGGTGGGGGTGGGTTGCCTGGGTGCAGTGTGTGTCCAGGGGCATTCATTCCACATCCAACCCACCGTCTTAGTGACCAGGAGCCCTTCAGCCAATGTGCATGGAGCATCTCTGGGACATTTGTTAATCTCTCTAGCAACATATGAAAGATGACGATTTTGATAACTAAGATGCCTTCATGCTCTTCCAACTCAGATAGACCAATCCAGGCAGACTTGGTTTCCCCCAGATGGTGCACAAATATGACTAGAATTTGTGAAGATGAGTCAGAAATGAAAGCAATTTTAGGAACTACTGATTTATCAGATTTCTTTTCCCTCCCCCCTCTCACCGCAATTAGGAGCCCCGTGGTACGGTTAAGGAAACTGAGTCTCTGTGAAGGGGACACATGGCAAGTAAGGCAGTTCGGACACGCAAAGCCAAGAATACTGCTCTGGGTGGTGGACAGAGATAAAATAAAGACTGACCCTTCCTACCTTGGCAGAACGTGGGGTGTGTGTGTGGGTAGCACAGGCCCTTCACGGATGAGAGACAGCGCGAGCCCATCCCTTGAGGAGACGCGAGCAGAATGGCCAATGCCAGGCATCGTGCCCGCAGGGGCCAAGGGGGGCAATTCACCGCATCCCCCCTCGGAGGTGCTGGGGCTTTGGGTACACCTGAGGCGGTCATCGCCTTCAGGCAGCCCAGCCCCGAAGCACGCAGGCTGCGGTCCCCAACGCCGCAGCGCTGCGGCTGAGCGCACTTCCCGGGGAGGCCGAGCCCCGCCGGGGTTGGGGTGGGGTGGTGGTGCTGGGGGGGTGGGTGCCAAGATGTAAAGCAGCTGGCGGCGCGGAGGCGGGGCCTGGGCGCGATGCAAATGAGGAAGGCGGGGCCGGCCCGCGGCTCCGCCTCCCTCCCCCGCAGCTGGGGCCAGCGGTGCCAAGCGCAGCTGGACGAGCGGCCGCAGCTGGGCGAGTGACAGGCACCGCGCGCGCCGCGGCCGTCAGAGCCGGTGCAGGGGAAGCGTCCGCGGCCCCGGGCGGCAGCCAGCGGCCGCCTCGTCGCGCGCCTCCCGGGCCCACAGCCCCGCGGTCCCGCGGCCCCCGGGGCCGGCCGGCACCTCTCAGGCTCCCCGGTCCCCCCCGCGCGCGCAAGATGGCTGACCCGGCTGCGGGGCCGCCCGCGAGTGAGGGCGAGGAGAGCACCGTGCGCTTCGCCCGCAAAGGCGCCCTCCGGCAGAAGAACGTGCATGAGGTCAAGAACCACAAATTCACCGCTCGCTTCTTCAAGCAGCCCACCTTCTGCAGCCACTGCACCGACTTCATCTGGTGAGGAGAGCGCGCCGGCCCCCGCCGCCTCTCGGGACCCTCTTCTCTCCGCGCACCCCCGAGGGAGACGCAGCCCCGCGGGCACCCCACGTTCCCGCGCACCCCGTCCCGCCCTGGGCTCCCTGACGGACGGGCGGTCGGGCGGGCGCTCCGTCCTCGGTCCCAGACGGCCACCCGCCGGGCGCCCTCTGACCTCTGCTGCAGGTTGCTCCGTCTCTCCCTGGTCCCGGGGTCCCGGTTTCTGCGCTTCGCCCGGCGCCCCCTTCTCCAGCTCCCTGCGGCCTGGGGCGTCCAGCCCTCCTGTCAGTCGTTTTTGAGTGCGCCTCTCCGAGCTTGCCTTCCCGCCCCTCAGTCTTCTGCACACACCTCTGAGAGCCCCTTCCCTCCGTTTCCCACCTTCCAGGCGTGCAGGGTCCTTTCTCCCTTCGGAGCCTCCCCAGAGGACCCCCGCCCCGCAGGGTCCTTCCTGTCCCCTCTCCTCTGGAGGAGTCCTCTTCTCTCTTCCCTCCTAGGGGACTCGGGGCACCTGGGGGGGGGGGCGCGGAGCGCCTGCTAACCTTCCGCCCCCCAGCCTTTTATTCCCCCCCCATCACTCCAATGGAAACGCTGTCCTTCCCCTCCTCCCGCGTCTGCGTCCCGTCCCGCCACCTGGTGGTCGCAGCCTCCTCTCCCCCCGGCTGGGAGAAGAGAGGATGTGGGGGTTACGGCCAAGCTCCCGTCTGCCCCCCCAGCCCTCGCCTGCGGGCGGAAGGCCCTGGGGCACCCGCCTGTGTCTGCGAAGCCGCACCTGGGAGCCGGGGGCGGGGCGGGGGAGAGGAGGGTGACTGTGTAGGGGAATTGGCTGTGGCCGCCGGGGGCCTGATGCGTCTCCCTCTGCTTCTTGCAGGGGCTTTGGGAAGCAAGGATTCCAGTGTCAAGGTAGGCTCTGGGGGCTCCGGGACTGCTGCGGTTTGCGGGCAGAGAGAAGGTGAAAGTCTTGCTGGACGTGATCGGGTTAGGCAGAAAGTGAAGAACTCAGCGTCTGTCAAAGTGACCTCCCAGGCTAGGAGTCCTTCCGCGCCAAAAGGGTCCTTTGAGGGTGTGTGTGTGCAAGGATGCTCTGTCCAGGAGAATGCCAGTGCGGCTGGGAGGCAGCGAATGACAAGGGAGTGCTTTCCGCCCTTTCTTCCCAGTCCCAAGGGGTCTCCAGGATGGGTCCTGGCGTGGCCAGTCCTGCCCCTTCTCTACAACCTGCTCTTTCTCCCCTCAGAGTCAGGTTCCACCCAGTGTTTGCCTTGCAGAAGTCTCTGCAGGTGGCTGCTGCCTCTCCAGATGGCACATCCCCTTAAAAAAAAAAAAGGCATCGGTGGCTGTCCCCTGGGCAGTAGTTCCTGATGGGACACTCCTCAGATCAGATCCGGTTTAGGGGCCCTCTCCCCCAACAATATTCTGTGCAGACACGGGAGTTTCCCTCCCCATGACTGGGCACCTGGGTTCGTGGAGTCTGGTTTGAGATCCTCGACGCTCGCCAGGGATGCCCAAAGTACCAGTCTTGACTTGAGGTCACGCAGAAGGGGGCCTCCAGCTGTGCCTGGCTGTCTAACTCACTTAGGATGTGTGAAACGTTTTATCATAAAACGTTTTATCCTGTCCACGGTTCAGGACAATGTTTTGTCGACATCAGAGTCTCTAGCTTGAGCTGTGCTGAGAAACGCTTTGTTTTTGCGCTGTAGCAAGTGTTGGGATTGAGGGCAGTGGTTTTAGGACAGGGGTCGTCCCCATTCACCATTTTGTCTTCATTGAGCCCAACCTGGTTGGCTTCACCCATTCCCCTGCAGTCCTTTACAGTTGAAAAGAGTGTGTGTGCGTTGTGTTCCCACTGTAAGACTAGGCATGGTTGAGTGTGGTGAGAAGTGACACATTTCTTGTGTGTGTGTGTGTGTGTGTGTGTGTTAGGGGCAGGTTGGCCGCCCTGGTGAACTGGGTTTATATCAAGAGAAAAAAAGCATTTGAGCTTTGAAGCGTTGAAGGTGTGGTTTGGCACTGAGTGGCGGTTTTGTGATCCCCCTGGAGTTGTGCACATTTTTTATTGGCAGGAGGGCCCTGCCTGATGTTCCCGTGAGGCGCGCAGGCTCCCTCTCACCTGGGATTTGGGCTGGTGTGGCTCAACCCCAGGTGGGAGCTTTTAGTCTCTCTTAACAAGATTGGAAGCCTTGGTTTTTTTCATGCCTCTTCCCAGAGGACTTTCTAAATCTCTTTGAAGGGCACCAACTTAGGTCCTGGTACTACTGGTTTCTAGAACTCTGACCTCTTAAGCAAAAATCCCAGTGGCATCTTGGTGCAGGAATGGGTCATTTTTTCTTTGAGGTTCCCGTCTACCTCCTGCAGAGGTGGATGCAATTTTCACTAATTTTGCTGCTATGGATGTAGCGGCACCTGCCTGTTGTTGGGGGTGTCTAGGAAATCCATTTGGAACATGTAGGGTGATTGGCACGTTGTATCTATGTATGGTATGTTGTATTATACTGTATTCCATAGTTATGCATAATTATGAACTATTGATCCAGAAATTTACAATGCTGAAAGAAGTGGAAACACTAAATTAACCAGCCTGATTTTGTTGGCACCCACTGAATGGACGTATAGAATTGTCGCACTGTGCTCTGTGGATAACGGACCATGTAAATCATTAAAAAAAAAGTTAAAAATAAGGAGTGCACAGGGCATGGTAACTCTGCAGTGAAAAAATCTTTTTATTCAAAGTCTGGAAAACGACAGGCATTTTCTGGTGCAGTGAGAACAAAAAACCAGCACTGGAGCTTCTAGTTAAATACGGCGCCTTACAGATTGGGAGTGTCTGTGTCTTTTTTTTCTCCTCATACTCGGCCCCTGTGTGCAGTGTAGAGGTGGCATGGGTCACCAGGAAAGTCACTGTGGGTTTCACACCTGCCTTTGCATCTCCCTGTGCTTAGTACTTCAGCTTTCTCATCCACGAGGTAAGGCCAGCCCCAGCGTCCACCTGACAGTTACCCAGTCGCTTCGGGTTATTGCAGTATCTGAGATGTCTGTACTAGAGCCTCAAGTGTCACTCTTAGGATGGTCCCCAGACTCCTCCCACGGTGGGGCCCTGGTGCAGGAGAAGCCTGACTCAGCCGGGGTTCTTTGCTACAGAATTATCTGCCATGTGAGAGGAAAAACAAAAATGAAAAAAACAAACTCAGCTGGGAACATCTGGTCACCCTGCATTGCTGCTTCGGCAGTGTATTTTCGCAAGAGTTGCAGAGGGGTGAATTGGATGCACCTGTAAATGAGATGTTCGTTGAGGGGGGAGGTGGGGCGATTCTATAACCCTACATTGTTTGGGGACCGTTTCTGTAACCCTAGAGGGTATGTCCGTGCTACCTGATTGTTGTTGGAGTCTGAGATCACCTCTTAAAATGGAGTCAGCATTTTGGTAGAAGACAGGAGGCTTGGTTCATCCTGTCCCCTACGCTGTCAGCCCCAGGGCCCAGGACCTTGAGTTCTTTTCAGTTTTTGGTTCTGCCCTCCCTAGGGAATGGCAGTTATCTTGCTGTCCAAGGCGGACGTAAGGCTCCCCAGTTATCTCCTGGTTCTTTGAGCTGGCAGGAAGGAGGACGGGAACCGAGGCCCCTTGGCTAGCGTCTCTTGTGGGCCTTGCCTGCAGACACAAGAGCCTGGAGTCTGTTAGCTAGAACTTTCTCACACTCCTATCTTGTGGCAAGGGAGCACGTGGGAAGTGGACTAGTGGGGGGGCAGCCGTGCTGTCGGGTACCAGCTGGGGGTAAGGACTTTCTGTTTCTGACGTAGAAGGAGAAAGAGGTTCTGATTTCTGATTCTCTTGGGTAGAAATAGTGTAGGGTGGCAGAACATGGCCCTCTTGCTTTTGCATTGCTAGGGGACAACACTGTAGGCCCACAGCCACATGAGCTTTTCCTTTTCATGTCCCCACCTCACCCCCCCTTTTTTTTTTTTAATATAAAGCTATTCTTTGTAGGATAGGTTAGGCTTGCCTCTGGCTAGCGGACCCTGGGACTGTCAGCGCCTGCTGTGAATATGCCTAAATTCTGGATTAAAAGTCAGATCGTTTTAGACCAATAAGGTGGACTTCTGTGGTGTGAAGCGTCTTAGAGGAAGCTTCAGTTTGGCAGAGAGAGAAACACCTCATTTAGAGGAAATCTATTAGAAATAGTAAAATGTGGACATTGTGAATTTGTACAGTGAGGTTGGGCTGCGATAAATGTTGCGTTTGAATCTCTCGGTGTGTGACCTTGGGCAAGTCGTCTCCCCTGTAGTGGCCTTCATCTTTCTATCTGTAAAGTGGGAATAGCATCCAGCTCACAGGATTATGGTGAGGAGTCATGAGTAGTGGCAGATATCCATGACTCTAAGTGAGCTCATCATTATTACTTGATGAGTGGCAGGAAATTGTGTCAAAGCTGGAAAGCATTCATTCTGGAACTCGTCGAATGACTGTGCCTCTTTCGTGTACTTCTAAAGTCCGTTCCTTCGCAGGCTTTGGGTAACACCTGTGGGTACACACTTCAGGGTCTGGGCCCTCAGCACCAGGCTTGCTTCTCATCCTCTTTCCTTGTGAGAAAGATCTGTACTTGCCCTGGTCTGTCTGGGAAAAAACCCAGAGTGCTGATTTACTGACTATGAAGGCCGAGACTTGGTGGTCACAGTGAGTAAATAGGCTCCTTCCCATGGAGATGCAAAAACGTATTTTTAACTTTCTACTTGAACTTTTTCTCAAGAAACTCCAAGTATTGCATCAGTCCAACTACTGTTTTCATCTGTGTTAATCCTATAAAATATGTATATTCTAATATGTGGGTAATACATAGAGATTAGAATATGTACTTTTTTTACTAGAGCAAAAATGAATCCAAGGTTAAGTTCACTTTTAGAGTAGCTTTCCATGTGAATTTATCATGATGTACAATTCGAGTTAAATTTTCTCAGGAACATTGTAAAGCGAGCCTTTTTGCTAAACAAACAAACAAAAAAAGTCACCAAGTTGGGCTGTAAGTTGTCGCAGGTCACCCCTCCTTGCAGAAGCAGCCTCTGAGTCCACCTCTGCCCACTTTTTTTTTCCTGAAAGTAGCCTGGATGGTTTCACTCAGTGGATAAAATGTATGGGCTTTCTGATATGGTAATTGATGGTTTGATTTTTTTAAAAAATCTTTTTCCACCGGAAATGGGGTTTCAGCCCCAGGTTCCCGAATGAAGGAAGAATGTTGGAGTGGGTACGGGTGGGTCTGAGAAAGGGGGGTTGGTTTGTTACTGAGGCTGCAGCAGCTCCATCTGGGCTTGTGGAGCCCTTGGGGAACGCCTGAAGCTTTGTCACTGAGCAGCAGAACGCCTTTCTAAGTGGATATGGAAAACATGACCTTTGAAAATGCAGTTGATATGCAGGGTCTCGGAAACTAATGTTAAGAAAGATATTATTTTTGAGTGTTCACGGTGCTCAAGTATTGCTCTCAACCAGGTACAGCCAAATAGGTCAACAAAGAAAAAGACATAAGAGAAGGTAATTACTCAAAAGGCAATGGGTGAAATGAAACACATTCTTGGCACTGGTTTTCTCTCTGTTTCTTTGCATCTTGCAGTCTCAACTCACACACAATGTGAATGTACACATAGATGTAAATAGATTAACACTGCTATCGTCTTATGAATATGCGTATTCTTTTAATACTTTTCAGCAAAGATGCGATTCAAAATCTAGCTCATTATTTTGAACTCTGCAGTCCATTTAATTGTTGAGTGGGTAGGAGGATCTGGTGGAAAGGCCGCGATACCTGGCTCATGCCTTCCAAAGCTTGGTTATTTAGCGTTTCTGGCATTCGATGTCATACCATGCATTTTTTGGACTTCATTCATTCAGTTTCCCCATTGAAATTGTGTGGTATTCCATA